GGGAAGTATGAAAGTATATTGGTCGCTTTCTTTTTTTCCAAAAAGATTGTTTAGAAATTTGGTAGTGTATTATCAAATATGGGGATAGAGGAATCATTTAGGTGTAGTAGTATGGCAATTTTCACATTACCAGGATATAAAATGCTAATGCAAACCAAAGTTTCTCTTTTGTATCATCTTTTTCCTGTGATGTTCCATAACTAAGAAGAGATGTTTGTGTTATTGTCCATACTGTAGGGGAAAAAAAGTTGGGTTTTGCCCTTAAGTCAGTTCTCTTTATTTTAAGCCAGTTTCCTTTCTCCAAAACAAAAGTGATCAAAGTGTGACTTCATAGTGGAACCTGACTGCAACCTTTAAAATGAACTGATTGTTGTCATCACGTAACTGATACTATCCTGAGGGGTGTCTTTCTGCTTATAAAAAGTTCCCACTGCCCAAACCAGCAATGTTTACTATGTTTCTTTGTAGTAAATTACATATATATTCCACTTTTTAGTCCCTTGGCTAAATAGCCAAATGTTTGGCTTATATCAAATTTCCACTAGTACATCTTTGCATTTTGCTGATTAGAGGTTCAGCTTTGCAAGCCTCATGTTTATGTTGGCTACTAGTATCGTAGTACAGTAGCTTTGACCTTACAGTAGGCTGAAGAGCTGCAATTTTACATAATGACATGTTAAACCCTTGGGAGTTTATTTTACCAAGAGATGTGATGGCTTCGTAGTGCTGAGGCAGCTGCTGTACTAATGTTTACTTCAGACTTATTTTAAAACTTTGTATATTTTCATGTATGTAGTTATGATTCTTGCTGAAGTTTACATTTGAAACTATGAAGATAAATGAGCAAACCTTTCCCAAAACAGACTGTTAAACAACTCTTACTTTGTATTATTGTGGGGTTTGATGACATTAGTGAATTTTTGTGTAGTTTCATGGATGATCTTTACTCTCAATTATTCAATATATATCTTGGACCTGGATTGCAACTGTAGGAAAGGAAAAGAAAAAGGCATTAATAATAAGTGCCTTGCAAAAGGCAGTACCTAGTAGTATTAATCTTCACTGTAGTACAATAAACAGACTTTAGTTAGATTTTCAACTCTATGTAATTTCTTATTCCTTCAACTTTTGTATCATTAAGGAACAGCAGATAACACAGGCATTTTGGACAAGAATTTTAGGTAAAAAATATCATGCTGCTTCTAATTGATATAACTACCATAGCAGGGCTCTAGGTGCACTTATGCCTTTTGAATATCTGTACATTGCTATCATTAGTGTACAATATTATCAAAGCCATGTTTCCATGGCAGAAACTGCACTTCTGCTACATTTTTTGTTGCTATAGCTATACTAGCAATTTCTGGTTTTCTTTCCAGTCAGCACACTATAGAATGATCATGGGTTTGTGTCAGTAGAAATAATTAATGAAAAAACATCAAAGGGAAAATTGTACATAGATTTTCCAAGTAAACAGCAACACAAGGCATGCTATTAAAAAGTATACTGAAATTTCTGTGGTGAAGTTATATGTAGCAAGATATCCCAAACAGAGCACGAAAATGTATAAAAACTAGAAACTAGTGAAACAAAGAGG